AGGACCATTATAACAAATTAAAAACTAACATTTATTTGAAAAAATTTGTATCTTTATTTGTTTCATTAGTGAAATCATTACTAATTTATTAAATATTTTACATATTTTTTCCGTAAAATGGGTTAATTGGACTTGGTATAGGACTTGCTTTTAGTACACCTGCTAATGGTTTCTTATTTGCATCAAAAGGTATAGCTGGGCTTTTTCGAATTTGTAAAATATATTCAGATGTATGTTGAGCGGTATTACGTTGAAGAGCAATTTTCACACGTTTTTTAAGATTTGTATCAATACTTTTCTTATGCTGTCGTTTTGAACTTATTGTTGTCTTCTATAACAAAAATATGTCAACTAATATAATAACAACTTTAAATAAGTTATACAATATATCAATTTACAAAATGAAAAACAGTAAATGTGAAAACTTAACTACTACATTAAAATATATTCTTATCAAATAATAAAAATACAAAAATTACGTATTATGCAATTCGAACAGATATCAAAGAACTTACATTTTTTTCATTCTCTAATTTTTTTAGGACATGTTTCAACCATATGTTTTCATTTTTTTGAGCATGGTCATTTGTAACAGATTTCTCAACCGTTTTTGTATGTAACTCTGTACTATTAATATTTAATGGTGAGGGTGTAGATGCATTTATGCTATCAGAAACATCCCATTTGTCAGTAATTTTTAATTTTGTTGGTTTTTTTCTTTTAATTGGTGTAGCATTTAACATTTTTGCAGTTGTAATTTTATTTCTTTTCAATTTTGTCTTTTCAGATTCATTAGTACTCTTAATTAAAAGCGATAAATCCTTTTTCAATTTGCAAGTACTATTTTTTACATCTGTTTCATAATTATTCTGAACCTCCTCCTTTGCTCTGCATTTTTTTTTCTTCAAATTGAAATTGTTTTTATCCGATATTTCCAATTTTGTGTTTAATAACATATCAGTAATATCTGCTTTACTCTTCATTTTTTTTTTCTTTTTTGCGATTTCACTTTCATCCATTTCTATAGTGTCATTTTCAGTACTACTTTCATTATCAATATTTTCTAATCCATTTTCATTAAATGTATCATTTTCATCTTGTGTTAGTTGTTCATTTTTTTTCCTTTTGCGTCTTTTTTTTGATACATCAGAATATAATTCTTTTTCAAATTCTAGAAGACGCTTTGTAGCTAGCTTTGTATCTGTATCTTTTTTTAGTATTTTCGGAACATTTATGCTTTTAATACCAAGTGGCATGTTACCTTCAGATAGTTCTGTAAATCTACAAAGACATTATGATAAAAAATGTTGCTTTTTATTATTTTTCTAATTTCGAAAACTTCGAAAAAAAAAGCAAACTAATAAAAAATATATTATAATCATCTTAAAGGCCTCTTTGAACCATATTATGCGATATAAAATAATACAGTTTTTAATTGAAAAATACTTACTCGTTAATGAGACGACGTACTTGACTGCGTGATGCTGATGTAGAAGAAGGATGAAATTTATATTGAGCTAACAATGTGGCTATTGCTTTGGCATCAAAAGGTATTTGCGGTAATTCCACATCTACTCTACCAGCTCTTGGATCTAGTGGTTTCTCTGTATCACATTTTATTTGACTTGAAAGATGTTTTTCTTCTTCCCCAATATCATTGTTTTCTATTTCTTCATCAGAAATTTCGATTTTTTTCATAGCATCAATGGAACCAGTAGGAAAACCAGCCTGTATAATAAATGCAAAAATATATATTACTGTGGACAAGAGTTATGTAAAAATTATTTCTTATACATTTATTTTATTTACATTTATAAAATTATTTGTAATATCTCAGAGATTTTAAAATAATAAAAATTTGAATACCCACATCCTTCCAAGCTTTAAATTTTTCCTTATATTCCATACCAACATCTGACTGAAAGATTAAATAGCTGAAGATATATTGTCTAACATGTCCAAGTTGTCTTACATTATCCATAGGTATAAAGTATTCAATAAAGGGTTTAACAAATTCTGTGACCACACCTTCTGGTATGTTTCCATTACTGACCTACAAAATTTAATTTGTTGAAACTGCATACTGTTAAATATTAAAAGTGAATAAATAATTAACATACTATAACATTTAAATATTCTTATAAAAACCGATTGCACAAATGATGTACCTTTGAAAGTTCTTCTAAAAATATTTCTGTTATATGCATGCTAAAACCAAGACATATTTTTGGATCTATAAATAGCTTTTCAAGTACTTTAGAAATACCTTTTATCCATTCAATATCCCACACTTTTTTCTTACACTTTTCAAAAGTTTGTCGAATTATTCTTCTAACTAGCTGTAAACAAATATTTAAAAATAAAAGAAATATTAGATATAATATATATATATCCT